TTGGTCCATTTTCGCACACCCCCACACTCTCTCCCATCCCCAAATGGTAATCCTGGATACAGTCTCACTCTTTGCTTTTGTTTTCAAGGCAAGAAATACCACTACACCAAGACAGCCTAGGCCTATCACAGAATCCTGGTATACGCCCTCACAGTAGAACTTTAATATACATTGTGTGTCATTGTACGTATGTTCACGTATAAATACCTAACAAAGTTCGAAACATAGACTATATAACTATATATATATATAAAACTATATATATATGTATGTATATATGTATATATATATATATATATACACTATATATATATGTATATATATTCGTATATATGTATATATATATATATATATATATATATATATATATATCACCAGAACTAAAATAACAGAAGGAAAATATTTAATGAAAAGTAAGTGCCAAATGTTACACATAGGGTTTAATCTAGTGAACAGCGCCAACAGCGTTTGATTCTGTCTCATTAAGCTTCTTGAAACGAATGATTACGGAATAAAAGAGCACGAAAATAGAATATTGAGAAGTTCATGTATGTAACTGATGAATCTTGAGGCTTCTTCACTTTATTTCCGTCTCATAAAGTACTGAAATGTTTTAATTTTACGCCGTACATGAGGTTATTTCGGGAACTGAAATAACTGTTAATAAATGTTTTATATATTTAAAAAATTCTATATTTATTTTAGTATGTATACTTTTTGATTTGTTTTTACGATATTCTTTTTTTTTTACGAATATTGTTTTGTTGATGGATATCGGGAAGTATATTCTTTATAATTCCTCTCCTCTTTGAAACCACGTTTTACTCTCTGTAGGTACAATAACAATAGTCAAATACTTGATAATCAGAGCGGTCCGCGGCAAACAAGTCACAGAAAAGATCTTATTAATTGATATACTTTTTTACTTATCATAGATAATCAATTATGGCCGACATCGAGTACCTGAACCTTGATTTCGTATTCGCCAGTTAGCCCGTAGGGCAGCAATCATTTTAAGTTAAGTTGAATCAACACTCAAGCTATTCATTTTTAGACACCCTGTATCAACTGTAAGTAGGGCGATATCAATAATAATAATGTGAAAGCATGACGTATTGATAAATGTGTTAAAAACACGGACACCTTTACATTACATACGCATTATATTCACGCATTATATTCACTTTCGTTCAATTAGAACGAAAGTCCTGCATTATATTTCATATGATTCAACAAAAAACTCCTACTGTATTATATTGGCCTACAATATCAACCACTGGTGGTCGGCTAGCTTACACACGCCCTCTACCAACGCATTACTCGGCGTCGTTACGAAGTTCAGACCTCTCATGAATTCGGTGTGAGACTCACGCATTAAGGGTCTGTCTCACGTTTTGAAGCTTAAGAACCAAAATCTCACTCATAAATATATTACCTATATTAAAAAATATTTTTACACGATTTGTGACCTGTGTAGCTCTTTTCTACTAAACATTTTTTATCTACAGTACTTAAAATGGTATCTCATGTATATCAATTTATATTATTTTGTTAAATTATATGTTTTATAAAGCACTGCCGTGAGATGAAATGGCACGTACATACTCCAAACTGCCACTCGCGCATCTCATGTCTCATGTGAGATTTGTGTGGATGACCTGAACGGCATGTATTCTCCAAAAAAAAATTTTTAATGCTGATTCTGAACAGTTGTAAAACAGTACTGGTACCCTAAAGTGCCGATTTACTGCCGTTTACTGCCGATCAATGACGTGTCTAGAGGGTAAGTATCAGATGCTTTCTAAAGGTAGTCAACAGAATCCTCAACCATTCATCTCCAGTGGCGGCACAAGGATGGGTCTTTCCACCTCCCTGGACCCCACCCTAATAATAACAATAACAATAACAATAATAATAATAATAATAATAATAATAACAATAACAATAACAACAACAATAATAATAATAATAATAATAATAATAATATTAAAATAATAATAATAACAACAACAACAACAATAATAATAATAATAATAATAAAGCTCGTGTTTATTATAGACATATCTATAAGAGCGCTGTTTCTGATTTGCATAACATGAAAACAATAGGTATATGCTCACAAAGAGAATAAATCCTAATACTAACCAAAGAAACTAAAAAAAATAAAAAAAATAATAAAAATTAGAAACAGACTAGAGCACAGCAACTGGTCACTATTGAAAGGTTGAAGCTGTAGCCAATATGTATTGTTGACTTGAATGGACCTTTAGGGAGTGTCAAACTTATTAGCTGGTCAATCATAATGGGCTTGAAATACGAGTTTTTATTACATATACTGTACTTCGACGAAAAGTAATTGAAAACGGTTTGAGGTGATGTGCAGGCCTACAATAATTGTATTCATAATGCTTGAATATCGTCTTTTCCATAAAAATGTACCCGGCCTTCTCGCTAAGCCCTGCACATTTGATACTCTTGTTTAAAGGTCCCGCAAATCGACAGCGTAAACGTACGTAAACACGTGTGATAAGCCGGTTTTCCACTAGGCGAATTTATTCGCGCGAATCGAAAGCGTTGGTTCATGTGCATGCGCGTTCACATTCCTATCGGAGTTTTTGGGAAGCGAAAAAATCCGCAGCCAGTCAGAGCTCAGGAAGCGAACCGATGCTTTGCTAAATTCGCCTAGTGGAAAACCAGCTTTAATGGGATCAGTCAAGTGCTGGTAAAAGCGCGTAATCCTGGTGGTGCTCTGATTGGTCGATTGTTAAGTTTGATTGGCACTACAGAAAGATCCATAAGAAGTTGGCTAATCTTGTGACACCGGCAATTTATTTTTAAAATGGCACTAAAAACGTTTTATGTCACTGGGATGTAATAATCGTAAATTGCTATTAAAATTATGAAGGCCTACCTATATTAATAATAATAATAATAATAATAATAATAATAATAATAATAATGATAATGATAATGATAATGATAATGATAATGATAATGATAATGATAATGATAATGATAATGATAATGATAATGATAATGATAATGACAATAACAATAACAATAATAATAATAATAATAATAATAATAATAATAATAATAATAATAATAATAATAATAATAATAATAATAACATACTATCCTTGTAATGACTTTTGTTACAACAAAGAACCACATGTGGTAGTCAAAATCCTACCTTACAATTGTATTAAAATGTATTCCTTTTAATGTGTGTGGAAACAAAACTACCTGATTTTAATTAATGTTATATACTGTTATATGTTGTGTTTATGTCGACACTTCTGGAACGCCCATCACTTGTCTTACTGGTCTTCCGCCTACTATATTTAATTTACATTTTAAAAAAAATAGAATACAGAGGATTGTCTAACAAAAGATATGTTATCAATGTTTTGAAAAAAGGTTGTGATAAGATAATCAAATTGTCTTTCAAAGGAATTACGGATTTTTGTATTTTAATACACTACGAATCATATTCCCTTGTAACAGTCGGACAGATTTTTAACATAGGCTTACATTTGGGTCTTTTTCCCTTAAACGCAGCTAAAATAGAAAAGCAACATCACTAATTTCTTTATATTTTCTCACTACATATATTAATCATTAGGATAAACACTTTAAAATAATACACACGGTTTTTTAGGAATATTGAACAATTTTATGATAAATTCTTAGACATACAAATGACACAACTGTTGCAATAAACCATCAAAATGCATATTTTTTTTCTAGATTTCTTTTTTTCTAGTGTTCTACATTATTTGTTTCCAATATAATTCTCATAAAAACTATTAACTAAAATCTACAATTGTTAAAATATAGTATCCCTTTTTAGACATTTTTTATCATGTTAGACTTTTGAAAGGTAAAATATGGCTAAAAGGTACCTCAATATATTTTATTTGTTTTAAAATGTATACTCGTTTATATGATGATATAAATGTAAAAATATTCCATTTTAAACAATAAGATCTCTTGTTATGCCTTGCTAACAAATATTGCTCGGGTGTGTATTTACTGTGAAATAGATCATATAAATGTATGTATAATAAAGCTATATATAAATAATAAATGTAAATAATAGTGTAATACAGTAATAGGTAATACAATAACATTATTTGTGTTCCTATATTTCAGCACTTTTTCTAATATTGACACCAATTTATACATATATATATACATATATATATATATATATATATATATATATATATATTCACAATGCCACGCAGCAAAACATATTTAATATTTATTTCATATATATGCATATATAATATTATTTTTTGAACAATTTCCTTTAAGTGAAACCACTAAGCTTATACCATAGAGAAAATAGAACACTATTTTCTCTATGCTTATAATTTATAATGTACTTCACACGTTGGTGCAAATTGGACTGCAGTAGAAACAACCAAGTCAAAATCGTACAGCTAATTAGCAGAACGGTTTACATCAACAAGAAAGCCTACTAGTTGGAAATTGTTCAAAGTTATTCTTGAAAACCGATGAAATTTTTTCAATAATAATATCATGACACATGTAAAGAGGCCAAATCTACATCGTCTTGAAGCAAGAATACGGATGCTTTATGAATATTTTACTTTACTTTATGTATTTTATTATATTATATATATATATGTATATACATATATATATATATATATGTATATATATATATAACATTACCGCAAGACGATTTAGAATTCATTATATATATATAAATATATATATATTTAAATATATACAAATATAGGCCTATATATATGTATAAGAGACAGATATATATGTATATATATATGACAAAAACAGGAGACGATACAAAGTTACTAATTAAAGCTTACTTTTAATTAAATTTGTATTTCTAAATCATCTGGTATACCTCGTCCTCTCTATTAGTGTTCCATTATTTTGGAACAACGTGATTTATTTTATTATACAACATGTATAGGCCTACTAGAGATAATAACGACACTTACAACAGCTTTAAAGCAAACATCTATTTAATATGCCTACATTAAAAAAATGTCAGGCCACAAAGAAAAGCATATTTCAAAACATTACAAATCTCAAAAGATGTTATATTTTTATAATTGATGGACTATTTTATATTAAAAAATAAACATACTGTATGAAATCCCAATTAAATTTGCATTACGAATAATTTCAGCGTTAGTTCACATTTTGTGTTATAATTAGTAATTTTGTTAAACATTAATTATTTTAGAGGGTATGAGTAACCTGTCTTATTGAAATTTTAATTTGTATCCACAAGATTATTACCATCGGAATAATTTGGGCAAAGTTTCAGCGAGTGCGCCCCCACGACTGAGAAAATGTCTTTGGTTTTAGTCTTAAATCCGTGAATAATTGTACGTTATTGGTAGTCTCCAATGTGCACGTTGATGAGAAGCGAAACAACAGAGGGCGGTCATCCTATTTCAATTGAGGCAATTTCCTTCGCAATTCATTCTGGTCTAACAAACCATCTCCTTGAAATAAAAAATATAATATTTTAAAGAAATGCATTGATATCTATAATTATTTCGTTGTTGTTTAATGTGTTACTTTCTAATACCAACTTCAATAATTCTAACTTACTAGATAATTAAATTTATTTTCAAAATTCAAATGAGAAAATCTTTTCTAGTATACGACATTTATATAGGTTTAGTGCAAGGAAGTGGTTCTAAATATGAATGTCTATTAGATAGATAGATAGATAGATAGATAGATAGATAGATAGATAGATAGATAGATAGATAGATAGATAGATAGATAGACAGCTTACGCAATACTACTACTACTACTACTACTAATAATAATAATAATAATAATAATAATAAAACAATGGTAAAAATAACAATAAAAATAAAAATATTAAAGACAATGATAAAAATGAGATAATAATCAAACAAGAATATAAAAAAATAAGAATAATAATATAAAACTCAGACATTCATATTATTCAAAATAAGGAACCATAATATTAATTTCATTTCATTTAATTTCTTTAAGCACGAGCACCAAGAGTATGTCAATCAGAGAACTTAATCACTATTCTACGTGGCATATCCATTAAACGACAGGGGAGTGAATTAACAAGTACACCGGGGTAACCCCCCCCCCCTATTCTTCTCGAAGTATGTACTGGGTTCTTTAAAGTGCATACGAGCCAAATGCGTACGCTAGGCCTACGGTTTAAAGTCCTTATCCGAGAAGACTTGTTCCACCACCGGAACCATTGGCGAGTGAGCGTTTGAAGCAATATATTAGCTGAAGGGTGCCCCTGACTTAACCGCTCGGCCAATCAACTCACCATAATGATGATGATGATGATGATGATAATGATGATGATGACGAAGACGACGATGAAGATGATAGTAGTAGTAGTAATAGCAGTAGTAGTAGTAGTAGTAGTAGTAGTAGTAGTAGTAGTAGTAGTAGTAGCAGCAGCAGTAGCAGTAGCAGCAGCAGTAGCAGTAGTAGTAGTAGTAGTAGCAGGAGCAGTAGCAGTAACAGTAGCAGTAGCAGTAGAAGTAGCAGTAGCAGTAGTAGTAGCAGTAGAAGTAGAAGTAGAAGTAGCAGTAGCAGCAGCAGCAGCAGTAGCAGTAGCAGTAGCAGAAGCAGTAGCAGTAGAAGTAGAAGTAGAAGTAGCAGTAGCAGCAGTAGTAGTAGCTACTTACCTAGTAGTACTATTTTAGTGTTGAAATTTTTTTTAAATAATAATTTAATAATCAGAAATTTGATTCTTACCATTTAAGTCTGTTTTCCTAAAGAAGACCGCAAGGGGATCGTTGCTCATAATCCTGAGATATCCAAGCTCATTCTCGGATATATAGCCATCGCTGTCCTCATCATAATGGTATATCCTTTCGTTAGAGGGCCAAGATTTCTTGCCAATTCTGATCTGTGATTGGCCCTCCAATATGCAGTTGCATAACGTTGCCCCTAGCAACAATGTGAGTGTCATCATTCCCATCCGTAAGCAACATTCTGTGAAATTAACATGATTGACGAGAACATTATTGAACATTGGATTATCAGATGTAACGTGCAGTAGACCTTCACAATCCAATTAGCAATTAGCAGTTTAGGCCCATAATAACACTTAACACAAAAAATAATTATAAATAGAAAGGGAGGAAATTGACTACAGTACTTGGAAAGTTATGAATCCTGCACAGCTACACAAATTGCCCCAAACAGGAACAATTAGTGGAGAGACATCAAAGCATTGTTTGCAACCCACCACCATAAATATTGAAGATGGTACGCAGTACCTAAGTCGGCACTACATTGTCCAAAACTGTAGAAAACAGACGACAAAGTGGCTAGGCCTGCAAGTGGACCAAAATATCTGACAAGCGGGCTGACAAAAATATCTGTTTTTAATCATCTAACAGCGAATGGTAGCCTAAACATTATTTGATGTTCTATGAACTAGTTTCAATGACTATGAGAGATGACTCTTGGTTTCATAGGTAAGCATCTTAAACATTGACAGCTAACAGCCCTACTTCTGACGATGATGGTGCAAATGGTGAGGAGGAGATGATGGAGAATTAGGAGCAGTAGAATGATAATGATGCTAACGACCTTTTCGTGGAGAGAAAAAAAAACAAATTACCATGTCCCTGATTAAGTAATTAATTAGTTTTAACCAATATTACTTTATATAACATTTCTCCTTAGTTTACCTCATTTTTATATCCTTACTTGAAACAATTATGAAGTAGAGTCGAAGTAAAGTTTAATAGTTTAGCGGTTAAGATGATTACCCTCCAATCACAAGGACCTGGGTTTAATGAACCTATCCAAAGTGTCAACCAAACTTAACAACTGATCAATCAGAACAGAGTCAATAATACGCGCATGCCCAACAAGCACACGTGTTGCACTCATTGGCCAATCCTTGTACAGAAAAAAGTGAGGCCTCCAACACCATGTTGGAGGGCCTAAGTGACGTACCAGTTTAGACAGTTTCTTTTGGCATTTATATAAATTATAGTTAAAAAATAACGACTCTTGCGATACTTTTCAATAATAAATTAAAATTTAACGTAGAAATTTTTTCTATCTAACCACTAGACGCGACTTTTTATGCAGTTTAGAAAAGCGCGAGTAAAGTCGCGTTGTTATAGTAACGTCGATCCTAAAAACGCAATAACTTTGCTTGCGCTTTAACAACAACATCCAAGGGGCTTAGAGGAAAAGTCAATTCTTGTCACGGAGAGGTTCTCTCCTCTCGACTAAAAAAACTACACTTCCAAAGCCTCATCATTTGTAGAGCATTATGTGTGTATATATATGTTTGTCTTGTATTATAAGAAAGCTATAGGCCTATATGTTGTTCAGGTTAAAGGGTAAATGCCTACTTTACACTTAAAGGTGCATGCTTGACAAATGGGTCGGATTGCTACGACTGGATAATACGATAATAGCAAGACGTAGGCATATGTATATAAACGAACGACCTAGAAGACTAAGCACATTAATTTAGTGGTAATTGTGTTTGTTAGTTATAGCCTAATCTGTTCCCATTGTGTCCTTAGTTATATATAGTACTTTATCATCGTATCTCCTTTCTTGGCTCATTAAGAGGTTTGTATCTAATGCTCTAATGTTGAATATATTTAGTTAATTTACTCCTCATGTGTACCAGGTGAAATTGTTTTTTTTTTTCATTTCGTCAGAATTACAAAATCAGTTAATTTTTTTTAAATATCTTTAAGAAAATAATTATGAATTTTACATTTCAAATACTTCAAAATTAATGTTTAAAAATAAAGAAGCATTTATTATTAAGATAAAATATATTTCAAATAATTAAATACAAATACATAAATAATAAATTAAATAATAAAAATAATTATAAATAAAATAAATAATTATTATTTTCATTATTTTATTATTTTAACTATAGTATATTCTATCGCCATTGGTCAATGTAAAGGGCACCTAGAAAAATGAAGATTTGCTATAGCAGGCTGCATTGCAGCCAACCAGAGGATCAAGAGCTCATATTTTTCAGGTGTACCGATACTAGCAGTGTTCCGCATCCACAACCACTACAAATTTAGCTGACTCTTCTCAAACCACTACATTTGGTCTGTATCTCATTTTCTCCACTCCCACCTAAATGCGCCGTGCATTGTCACTCGCCTCACTCTAGTTCCGTTGCCTCCGTTGGATTTATTTGTTTAGTATATAAAAAGCTGGAAAACAAATCACGAGTAGTATGAATTATAAATGCGTCGACTTACACTGTTAAAACAGTGTTGAGGTTTTAAATTAAAAGCTCCAAACAATTTTTTCCTGTTGGTAAAGCAAATCGTGTTCAGGCATTTAAAGTACTTATTAAGCATTTAATAACTAGATACTAAGCACTTTAAATGCTAGGAACCTCAAAATCCTAGTATATAACACTATTAGGTCCTATATATACATCGTAACTGTTGAAGTTTTGAAATATTATATATTTTTAGAAACGTTTTAAGACATATCAATAGCTTAAATACAAGTTTCTTCAGAATGTTCGTTGAAAAACACCACCGACTGTAATCTCACGTATCCTTTTCCCCATATAATCTACATAAAGAAAATAAAGTCCTAGTTAAGTTGTTCAAATACTCCAAATACTCTTTATAAGTCAATTATACATTTGCTGGATTATACAGTATTCTGCATTATGATTAAATAAGTACCGTTGATCATCACTCATCATCAAATATCGCAGTGCTCATATTAGTGATAATCCTTTACGCGAAAGAAAGATAGATGTAAAGTCATTCAGTATAATTAATGGCTCTTTATCGGGCTCTTTACTCCGCAACTTAAACAGTCATGTGTTAAAAATTTATACAAAACTACGTTTTACATTATTTTGTAAAATACATTCAGGCGTTGTAGGCCTATTATATATATTTCACTTTTTTTGTAGCCTACACTTTCAAAAACAAGAAGAAATCGAAAACGGTTTCACTAAAAAAATCACACAAAAATCTGTTATTCATATATTTACCCAAATTTGAAAGGAAATGGAGATTATGTTCAATTTAAAATTCAATAGACCTACTGAATTTTTATTGTACACTGATAACTGTTTACGAATGAAGAGATCGGGAATGCGCTTAAACGATCCTCTTACATTTTTGGAAAGTACTATAATACATTTTATATTGTGAGACTGTAATTTCTTTTTAAAATTATTTATAATGAATTCCATGTAAAGCCTGGAGCACCTGTATAGCTGTGGTCAATGGCGTGAACGTAACACAAACACACATTATTGACGTACGTTTACTTTACTAAAGTTACAATGATTTTGTCTATAGCTTTTAGTTGGTTGAGCAAGGTTTAAAGTAATTGTTTACTCGAACCACACTATCAAGATGTGTATAAGAGACAGGTTCAAATATTGCTCAAGATGTCTCAACAAAACACACCTCTATAGGTAAACAAGAATGTCTATTCCGAAAAGAAATATGGCGCAGTATACCCGGTTACTGGATACGAAATACATATCATGGTATGGAATCATCGTAATTATTCGCTCATTTAACAAAACAATTCAGCAAACTTTAATTCGTTGAGATTTTTTTCCAGGAAATGCATGTGTAATGCAGGACATGTCAATTTCATCCCAAACATTTATCTTCTACCGGGTATTCATTAATGGACCTTGATATTAAGTCCCGCCACTTGGATATCGTTAATCCCGCAACCCCCCAAAACGACAGCTATATATCGTACGTAAACATGTGCCTTTGCCGGGACAACACTAAATGCGCCAACACGTGTATTTGTGGAACAAGCGCGTATTCCGGGTCTTGTTTGATTGGTCAGTGTAGATAAGTTTGATTGACACTACGAAAACGTCATTAGCAATGCTGTGTCGTTAAGTTTAAATTTATTACAATTCCATTGACAAAACAAAAACAAAAAACAAATTTTACAGAATACAGCCAAACAACATACCGGACGCCATCTCAGTATTTTTGAGTCTAGGTTTCGAGGTTAGTTAAGTTAGTTTATAATTATAAATCATTGACAAACAGATTTTGTTTGTATTAACGAAAAAAATTAATATAATTTTGTTAAAGACTTTCTACTTCACAATGAGTGTTTCCCTAATTTGTTTGTTAGAAAGTCACCCATGGGTAACACACATTTTACATGAGTCGGAATGAAATTAGTAGTGCTGATTACGCGCATAACTAGGAATACTTCCCATGGAGCGGAGAAGGTTGCACGTTGTGTATTTTTTTTATTCTGTATCCAATAACCAGGCCAAAAAGAGGTATGAGACTCCGGTAAAGAGCACTAGTTGCTAAAATAAGATAAAAAAAAAAAAGTATTGTCGAAAGAAGAAATATCATTAATAAATAGATTAGTAGGTGGAACAATATTAGCCTTACTGACGGTAAGAACACTATATGGTATAGCCATACTGCATGGGCGGTAAAAATGCTCTTATTTTTAACCTGTCATGTTTTCTATAAGACAAAGTGTAAACAGCCAGTCGCCTGAAGAGGTTCACTGCGTGAACGAAAGCTTGTGCTTACAAAATATACGTTAGTCTTAAAAGTACTACCTGTCTTGTTACTGTTTGTATAGTTAAGACTAACACGGCTACACCTCTAGTTTATGAATAAGTGTAAGATGATAATAAAGTGTAAGAAAATAAATTAAATAAATCTGCAATATACTTATGCAATGTTAAAGCATATTTCTTATTTCAACACATTAAATACTATGACAAATATATGTCTTTCAAGGATAAGCATTCATTAAAAATCTAAGCAATAACTCTCATGCGATGTTTTCTGTTTCAAACAATTATTAAATGATATTAACGCTTTTTAACATTATATACACATTTTCATTGAATTATTTAGTTTGATATCTAATTTTTACATAAACGTTGTAGTGAATATATATATATATATATATATATATATATATATATATATATATATAGTCAAACTTCATTCATGCATTATAGAACTGGTAGGCCTACAATACTATGTTTAAGTCATGTGAATATGCAGCAAAATAATTAATTAATATATATATTACTATGTATATAGACCTATATTATGTACATATGATACTATATATATATTCCGACTTTTATATCCTCAGTCGGACACTTTCACTAATCCAGAGTAACAAACAGTGCCGTGTATAGAAGTATCGGCGTTAGGAGGGCTGGTGAGAAGCTTTAGCTTGTAAAATAAGATTATTTTAGGCAAATTTCTAGTGCAGAACGATTTTTCTTAAGGGAGCGCGCGCTCCAAGACCCAGCAGAAGCCATTGTTACAAACAAAATGTTCATGCCCACTTAACAAATTAATATGGTTATTCCTCAACCACATCATGTGCTTAGAAAATACTAAACTAAGAAAAACTACTTAAGTCATTATCAATACATATCTTACGTACCGGAGTTATTCATCTTTCGGCTGTTCTCTCCCCAACGGAATGTTAGTCTACTGTAATATAAACTCTCTACGCCAGATACAGTACGCGAGTTTCCACTGCCAAATAACTAAACGAACAGGCCTACTAGAAGCGTGGGTTAGGTAGTGACTTTCTTCCAATTAGGTTTGTGCTTTTCGTGGAGTGTACTACCGTTGCATGTAGCAATTATGGTCTGACAATGGTTTGCGTTAACTTATGAAGCGAGTGAACTGTGGTGTTCTAGTGACGAAGCCTATACGTCATACGGTGTATGTGTGTGTTGCCCCCGGTAAGTGATTTTGCTTGTTTACATCTAGGTAAAGAAGATATGAGTGAACTGAATCGTTTAACCAATCACTGATCTCAATTTCGTATATTAACTCTTAAATTATGGGCAATTTTTGTAGTTACCAAACGCATTTACACACATGAACCTCTTTTCGTCTGCTTCGTTACTGCTAATTAAGACTTTCGCTTTAATTTCAATTATTGTTTTTCTTTGCAACTTCGTCGCTGGTTCAATATAAGTTAAGTAGTCACGGATTGCTTAAAAATTGCCTAATATTATGGCAATATCTGGCCAAAATTCATGCCGATATCAGGTTTTAGTTATGTTTTAATATTTCCTAATAACACAACCTACAGTAGTCTTTCAGTTATATTTTTCTGTCCTTTCCTTATAATCTACAGAAAAAAATTAAATCATGAAAGGACTATTAGGCCTACTAAAATGTATCATGGTATTACTAAAAATTGTAGGCCTATACATTACAGTTATAAATTTTATATAGGCATATTGCCAATATTTCTCTACATTCTTAAACGTTTTATTGTCTTTTTTATGAGTGTTAATTATAACGTCAAGTGCAACAATTCAATATCATAAAATGAAAGTTTGCGCAGTCTCGATAAAAAATGTCAAACAAAGTACGTTGGGCCTGGTCGGGTGGTGGTGTGTTTGTAAACACATGTGTGCAAGTGTTTGCTGTGTGGGGTGGGGCATCATGAATGTGTTTCAGAGGAACATAAGCAGGGGTACAAGCGATTATTTGGTGGTCGATTTTCCACACTATCATAACAAAAACAAAAAAAAATTGTAGAACAGATATCATAAAACGTAATTTCACCCTTTGAACCGGATATGAATTCCCATTCCATTTCGGGTATTGCTATGAACAATTTGATCTTCGCTACCTTCAATTAGTTGAAATTGAAAAATCAGATTTCGCCTTTCTTCGAACCCTGATGACTCTTAATGAAGAAATAAGCGTCATTATGTCTGGGAAAATAGACACAAACAAGTTTTTGTGCTAAATGGACTGATCTGTCGACGAAAAAAAAAACGTAACATGTACACAGAACTCCAAAAATCATATGATTATACTGTATCCATTACGGTACGTATTTTTCTACCAACTACAAATAGGCCTATATGCAAGATAGATCCATATTTTCCAAAATTTTATACAGTAACGGTAACCTTTGTTTCTACATTGCTGAATTTGCATACAGAATTTTAGAAAAACGTAAACATTTTTAGTTTTTATTTTTTAACAAATTAAAATATTTATCACCAAAATTAAATCGATTTTGTACCGGCACGTCTACAAACATTCATGTCAGCATGTCATATATGCCTGTACATCCTATTCCGTACTCTCCTTACTGTACTAAGTATGGTGCCTCTATAAGCCAGACTGGCTTATGTACAAGGGTAAGACGTTATTAATAAACAAACATACTATTAGTATAATATGGTCTGTTTTTACATTTATATTATCATATAAGCAAATCGAACATAGAATTTACGGTAAAAAACATGAATATTTTGAGGTACTTTACGGTGATTTTTAGCAATACTTCGACGCTAAAAATCTGACATGAAAATGTCTTTAAAAATAACCTAAGTATAGTTTATCAATTGTATCCATAGCTCATAATTATTGTAAGAATTTAATATACAAAACGCTAAAAAGTGTCAACAAAAAGAAAACATTGCATTTTTATATACAATGGTTCCTATATCCCAGTATTGTTTATATCAATAAACTTTATATACAGATCGAATAAGGTAGGCAAAATTGTTACTTCATATTTTTACTTTACAATCACACTCGCATTAAGTGAATTAGTACTAATGCAATCTGAAGGGAAAGCGTAAAGCCTCAGCCGGAACTAAACTTTTATTGTAGTTTAAATGTCTTTTGCATTCTTTAACAACATGTATGGATGACAAAAAATGCTGTTTAAATAGCTTTTGCATTCTTTAACAACATGTATGGATGACAAAAAAAGCTAACTCCCAGGATACTACTAGTGTCAGGTGGAGGAACAGTTTTGTATGTATATAAGTAATATGTTAATCTTCTTTAATTTTTGTGCTGTGAACGTGTTAGCCAAGATGGTAATACGCTGGTGATACGAACGTTGTTAGCCACGATGTCGCTATCAACGATGGTGATATGCACGTGTTTGTCACGCTAATGATATGAACGTGTTAGCCAAGAGAGTGCCCACGTGTTAGCCACGATGGTGATCAGATTGTGTTAGCCCACGATGGTGAAATAACAAACGTCTGTACACAGAGGAGGGCGTACCTTATAGATCTCTAACAAGTTTGGTCACGTGCGATATTAGTGCTATATCAAAATCGTGACGTCAGACACGTTAAAAGAATGAAAGGAACTCAGATTCTACCGGACGCTTGAATCACCACTGTGACTTCGTGGTCAAGGGGTTATGACGTTTGCCATGCCATATATACGAAAGGTCCTGGGTTTGAGAGCCCCGGTGGAGATTGAGTTTTTTCTTTTTTATATATATATATACGATTTATAT